ATAATTCCCCTTTCAGTAGTCTATATAAATTATATCAGTCAGCCTTGCAATTAATTATGATCCATCCATTCGAAGTATTGCTCTTTATTTACATATTCTTATAGCCTATCATTTTAGTTGTATGATTCGCACTGTATACAATCCTTGACCTATCAAATTAACCGGTTAGGGAGACTCTTTTGTGCCTTGAGATGCGCGCGGTGCTTGGGAGCATGTTTCGTCCATAAATTAATCGTGACAATTGAACATCAAACCAAGCCTAAATTGTCAGGCGCCGATGTGGAAAGAGAATATTTTCACCTAGACACTTAGTTCATTTCACATCTAACGGGTGCTCTTATTCTTAGTTTGTACACTAATGTAATCAAATCATTGCAAAATTTCTCCGTGGGGTCCTCTCCTTGCATTAATGCTGTTAGCTCAGCTTAGATCTTAAGTTAGAACTTTAGCCACCCTACGTATCACATTGTGATGAAGAGCTAGTGCTAGTTAAATTTTTCCTCAATGATGTGAGTAGACTTCATCATGGTGACTAAACCTGTGATTTAAGATCTGATAGCATTTAAACCTACTCCTTAAAACTATCTTAGATTTATAGGATGGCTGGTATTCTCAGAAATGTCGCTTACCTTTCTAGGCCATCCATTCTTATTTCTGGTAGACATTTAATAAGCTATAGGGTATTTGCCAGTTTATGATGCATAATGTTAATCCATTGGTGTTAGTGTACCTTTTATTTCGTCTAAAGAGGTGACTAGAAGGGATTTGTAAATTGGCCTTCCAGAAGTCTTGGAGTTGTGATTGTCGATTTTTGCTAATAAGTTTTAGGTGTACAGTTTTGCGACCCTGATGTATCCGTGTTTAGCTTTCGTTTGTCATGTGACACGCATCGCTAGAGCGGGGCACCATGCTTCACTATAAGTGTTTTCATGCTGAGCGAATTATCGTAAAGCAATGTTTATCACATGCCAGACGAAAGCTCAGTACGGATTTATCGGGGTCGCGGGACATTGAACCGAGGAGTTATTCGCACAAATTTACAGTCATATCTCTAAGGCAATCCTCCTTTGGCTTCCGCTAAGACTAATTTACGACTTTTTTGCTAGCCTCGAACGAAACGAAAGGTAGGTCAACCTCAATTATCTAATTACGTTTGTCGAATAACTTATCTACATTGCACTCTGTTCTAAGGTACTATTATTATCATCTTTCAGTGGTTCTCGTGGTAGCACTTCGACTGGACATGTTGGCAGTATTTCTCATTCAGGGCATTTGCATTCTAGTCACCAGCATCAGGCACAAACTCAGAGTCACCACACACTTTCCGGTGCTCCCTCGCGCTCGAATCTTACCTCGAGAGGCGCTGATATCCCATTAGGCTCGTCTTGTCATCGTAGTAGAATGGAATCTTCCGGAGCCTCTGGTCCAGGTAATGTTCAATCCTGTGGTCCAGTTGTCAGCGTCTCTGCTGGGTCGGTTGTTTCAACATCAGGTGGTAATGACGCTATTGGTGTAAATGGAACTCGAACTCGTAGCTCCCAGCGCCATTTGAGGAATCACAATCAGCACCAACTTCACCCTGGTCCCATGCCGCTCCAGCCTACAGGCAGACGACATCATCCTTCCATCGATTCATTCAATTCTACACGCACAACGAATGGCTCTTCCCAACACCTTTCATCTGGGTCACGCAATGTTTCTCTCAATCTCTCTCACGATATATCTAGAGCCATGGGGACAGCCTCATTGCCTCGTTTGCGCACTTCGCTTTGCAGTAGCGGTCTGCGCAGTTCAGTTGATAATAATCGGAGATCACAGAAAAGAACTATCGGACGTCTAGAATTGCATGATGTCCGACTCGATGGCAATGAAGAGGAGGAAGGAGAGTGGGATGGTGATGATGAAGAGGAAAGTTACGGTAGCTGTGAGGAGCGTGAAGAAATGAGTTTGAATGATGATGATGATAATTGTGAGGGGGAGGAGGAATATGAGGGTGACGATGTTGAAGATGAGGAAGAAGATAAAGATGGCGACATTTATGAGGATTATGTTGACGAAATTGAAGCAACCCATCCCTCCACCCTGGAAAAATCAGTTCGACTTTTAACACCTGCAATGAAGTTGGAAAGCGGCCTCCGTGGTGGAAATAATTTTCCTTGCCCTGGCTCACCACGCTTCCGTTCATCAGCATATCCGGACGGTCTTATACGAGCAACGGGTCGAGTCGCACTTTCTTCAGGTCGTACTTTCGTATCCATTCAAACTCCTGCATCATCCTCTACTGGCATTATTCAAAATGCAGCTTCCTCTGTTGGAGTCGCAGCTACCTTAACGGCGGCCACTGCTGTCTCTGCGACAGTTGCTGTTTCGGCTAACTCAGTCTCCACTGTCGACATGGCCTCTCCTGTTTATGCATACGCTTCAATTGGATCGGCGCCGCCCTCGTCCTCCTCATCGTCACCTTCTTCTGGCAATTCATCTCCATCAGCATCCCCCCAGATTCCTGGGCAACTTACTGGAAGGCCAGTTGAAACTGGCCTCGGAGTTGGTTCTCTTAAACTAGAGGCCATGGAGGCGCCTACTCAATCGGCACTTGATAGTAAACGATTGGGGCCTCGTTGTCCTAATGGCACCTTGGGTATGCACAAACCCAGGCAGATGGAGCTCGAGCTGTCATCTGGTAAGAAGACTGATAAATTAATATATTTTTAAAACTAATGAATCACGGCGTAGGGATCCGGGTGATTTATCTTATTTAGTTATATGAATTAATAATAATTTGGACTTTTCCTAAGGAGTAGCTGGGAAACAATCGTTTTTATTTTTCCTATTGACTATATTGTGCCATTTTATAGAATTCGATATGCGAAAGTAAACGCCTATTTATTCTTGTTTTTTGTATGTTTAGTAAAACATCTGTTATCCATTACCAATGCTTGCAAGGCGGAAGCGCTGTACATGTTTTAACTTCCGTTCCCAATGGAATTCCAATGCCATTATTTTGTAGTCAGATACTTCCACCTAGATTTACCTACCGAAAGGTCTTTTTATCATTGAATTCACCCGCCGACATCCCTAATGGGATTATATACCACTATTGTGCAGGGGTTTTGTAACGCCGCCCTGATGCTCGCGACTGGAAATATGTAAGGGTGCTTGTGAAACTACGTGGTCGAAACTGCAGCCCACCCTAGATCAGATAATCTTTTGGAAGGCTAGTCTAGGCTAGTGAAAGTCAACATTTAATTGTAGAAAACTCAACTATAAGTCCTTATCTCGTTACTGGACCTCGCTTTCGCAACTTTGTCGAATGAAAAAGGATAACTTGTGGAGCCTAACTAGTCCTTTGTCCTCTTCCATAGTTTTCCTGATGATTTTCACCACAGGATCGCCCTTACATTACCTTAAGCAACCCAAGGTGATTAAGTTCTTACTGATAGCCTCTAAACCCACTTAAATAAAATGTAAGGACTGATGGTTGAATTTCCTACAAAT